GGTTGACAGATCGGAAACGTCTAAAGATTCTCATAGATTATTGAAGAATATAATTACACAAAATTGGATCCGACATGATGAAGTATTTGGGAATGTTCCTTTTTTCACGATATATTATCAGTAATAAAAGTATAGAAATTCCCTGGTGGGAACGCCAACTGTAATAGACCTCTCAACAAGAAAGAGGAAAGTCTTGATTGTCTGTAATCTATACAGCAGATCAACTGGTGAGAAAACTGTATCTGAACCGAATGTAAGTGTGATTTTTTAATCGTCTTTCACTCTACAAAATGATACTGATCCACCATTTTTATTAGTCTAAGCAGGAAACTACATTAGTTCAGACGGATATACTATGTGTCTAGTTAATAATTAAAATCTAACGAATTCATTTTCGTATAGGACGCGTAGCTGGTTCATCATCGGATATTCAAAAAGAAATAACTCAACAAATGGAACAAATAAGTGAACAACATCAAAAACAATTAACAACATTACGTGATGAAATTCGTACAAAAGAAACACAAATGGAAACATTAAAAGAGTAAGATTTTTCAAAGAAGAAAAATTTAGAGAATTCTATACGAAAATATTTAGCTCATTACAAAAATTGCAATTGTCCTACGACAAATTATCTGGTGATTATGAAAAATTGAAAAAAGAAGAAACAGATAAATCAAGTCGTTTACAAGAAATGACGTACGTCGTATTGAAATTGAAATATTAGTCTAGAAACAAAATCTATTTTAGTTTACAACAAGAGCGTCGTGAGCAAGCTAAACAAGACTTAAAAGGTCTCGAAGAAACAGTTGCTAAAGAATTACAAACATTACATAATTTACGAAAATTATTCGTTCAAGATTTGCAAGCACGTCTTAAAAAGGTTTTATTTTCAGCGAATTTTTCTAAGCAACAAAGTACAAACAAACTTCTACTTTATTTTTCTAGTCACAAAAACAACCCGAAGCAGAAGAAGATGATCTAGGTGGTAGTGTTGCACAAAAACAAAAAATCTCATTTTTAGAAAATAATCTTGATCAATTAACAAAAGTTCATAAACAAGTAAGAAAAAAAAATTAACGTAGATTCGGACATATTAATTTATATTCCTTTTGTTTTGTATAGCTTGTACGTGAAAATGCTGATCTCCGATGTGAATTGCCGAAATTGGAAAAACGCCTCAAAGCAACCATGGATCGCGTTAAATCCTTAGAACAAGCATTAAAAGAAGCAAAAGAAAGTGCCATGAAAGATCGTAAACGATATCAATGTGAAGTTGATCGAATTAAGGAAGCTGTCAGACAACGAAATCTTGCTCGACGTACAAACACAGCTCAAATAGGTAAACTATTTTTTTCATGATACGAAGTTTTTGCTTTTTAAATGAGAAATTCAGCTGTCTTTCATACAGATACAGTTATTTTCTGATCTGAGATTAGCCCGTACGAGCTCTAGTCTACTGGCAATTCATTGGTGTATGAATTGAATTTTTATCGAAGGACTACTTCATCGAATAAATTATACTTTGAGGCAAAAAAAAGTTCGAGATAATATTTTTAATAAAAGTATACGATTCCTTGATTGATGAGATAAGTGCAATCGCGTATGTTTTCTGATTTTAAGACTCATTCCAATCTAATAAATGGAGTTTCCCTTAGTCGACTATAAATTATTTAGAGAGTATTCTTTCATTTCTGGGTGTATGATCAATCTACATTTTTTTTAACGACAATGAACTTTAAAATTCATAGCATGGATGAAAGAGGTCTAGGCTTCTGACGTTCGGTATCGATTCAATCAGGTCATATCTAACTGATGCGAAAGTCTTCTGCAATATAAAACTACTCTTTTGACTCTACACCTTGTTCATTGTCTAGATATAATTCTATGAGCGTTGAAAAAGTTTATGTTAATTCCAATTGATGAATTTTCTCGACTGAAATATCAAATTTTCATAGGATTTCTACCAAAATGATATTTTTGATATTCGATTACTAATTAGTATCAATTTATGAACATTAGTCTTGAAAGAAAAGTGCTTCAGTTGACTAAGATGGAAAAACGATAGTGCAACCTAAGTGTGCTGAAATATGATACGAATGCGTGTCATACTTGAATCATAATCAAGTATCATTTCGAACTCTGTAGTAGCATCCTTTTCTTATACCTAAATTGAATAGCGAAATAAATTCCTCTTACTCATAGTGTGATATCATTTTCCAAATATGTTATAAACCTATCGGTTATGTATTCATCTAGATTTTCAGACCTATCTATTCTACCGAACTTGCAAATCGATAAAGAGATCTTTGATTATTTTAATAACCTAATTTTTCTTCTAGTAAAACCTATTCGAGCGGGTGTAAATCCATCAACAAACACTTCAACACCTATTCCAACAATTCGTGGTGGTGGTCAATCTATGGATCAGTAATACAATAGAATTTTTATTGCACATAGGCATAGACGGTTTTTGTTGCATTTTTTTTTGTCTTCTTTCTACTTCTATTTATCGTAATTTGTTTCGTTTGCATATGTTTTGAACGATTTTGTTGTTTGTGTTCGTACATCTTTTTTTTCTCCTTTCTTTTAACTGCAAGCAAACATAAAATATTTTATTTCTTATGAGAATTTACGCATCTACACTTTCACTTCTACTAGCATAAATATTTCCTCCCTGTCGTCTTGTTGTTTTTGTTTCTCTTCTATGGTATTCAATATCCGCTTAGCGAATATGGATAATTTCTCTTACTTGAACAGTCCCATTACATTGTGTGCCTGTCTCTTAACCTATGTCCACCAGCATCAGTCTATGAGGAATATGGAGCTATTTTTTTTTTGTTCAAATGTACCTGTGTTTATTTATGGTGGCTGTTGTTTCGAATGTTTCAAGTTAGTGTTCGTTCTTATTCTCTTGTTTATTTCATCATCTCTTCTCATCAGCATTTTATTATATCTGACATAATTTTACAATGGCGACTTTTGAGCATACGTCACTCATTTGAAATATGTAATGGAAAATAAATAAACTTTGTCGAGAGTGTATACTCTTCACTTTTAACCTTTTCTCAAAATAATTCTATGCTTTCATCTTTCTTAACACTGAAAATGAAAATAGAAATCGAAGAGGCACAAGGGAAATGCTCACCGTCGATAAAGTCACTGAGTTAGCCCACTCATTTTTTTTCTAAATTAGCATAATTCTGCTTTAATGTAGTCGTTTGGTTTCATCTGATTGTATCAAATCTCTTTGACATAATAGAAAAAAAAAATGTAATCATGATAGCAGGAAAAGACCATGGGGCGCAGGGAGCATGAAATAGAGAAAATGCAGGAAATCACTGACATTTTGTAATCACATAAGCAAGGAGAGTTACATTTGACGAATAGCCTTCTCAACCACACCAATGCACTATTTCCTATATGAATGTAAGTTTTACAACAGTAAGTTAATGTTTGTTTCAATCATGTGTAACTGAGATCGAGTATATTTGTGGCAGCACTTTCTGAATAGAGTGTTGGAAATTACGAAGATATTTAGATTCATGCTAATAAACGCTACACAAATGCAAGAATCTCGTGTGAGCTTCAATGAAATCCTAGATATTATTGGATATACAAGTAGTGTTTATAAATGATTTATCTTCGAGATCATCATTGCTTTCTTAGTATCGTATGCTCAAAGCGGTTCTCTTGTTGCTAGCATGTCTTTCATGTAGAAGTAATTTGACAGTAGAAGAACATGACAATGAATCTTAATATTCTATATTACTAATAATACGTTTGCTCGTGTGTACACTTCTGCTTCGCCGTTGAACACAGAATCACCACTCAATTAGCTTCGTATTAATCATATCGTCTATTCGTAATAAATCAACTTGAAAAATAGAGATAACAAGTGGCACATAATTGTTAGATACTTTTCGTCTAGGGATTATCAGAAAAGTATGATAGGGAATCTTCCACTCGGCGAGAGTATAAATGGAAAAAAAACTTTTATTGGAAGTAAAAATGGATAAATATCGTTATCGTTTTCAAAGACTTCTCAAAGGTATGAATATTTCTATTCACTCTTTTTTTTGCAGAATATGATGATCAGCTTGTTCATGTTTGTATCAATGTAAGCTGCTATTTTGTTCTTATTTTGCTTTGCCCATAAGAAAAAGTTCTCTGACAACTTGGGAGAACTTTCTGAGAGTATAAGCATTGTTTTTCTAACTAGTTCCAGCTATATAAAGATCAAGAGGCAATTTCTTAGAAAAAGAGAACAGATCATACAAAAGAAGGAAATTCTATGCAATAAAAGAAAAGAAGAAAAATCTATTGAATAGAAAAGAAAAGAAAAGAAGAATCTTAGAATGCATTAATAACAAACAAAGTAAGTAACAATGTCTAATGAGCAGAAAAGAATCTACAGCAGCTTAGCATTAAGTCTAGTTTGGTTTGTTCTTATGCTTGGATGTTGTGAATGGTGAGTTGAATGTGTTCTACTATGTTTACGATTGAACTTGTTAAGTCTATAACTGAATGAACAATTTAATCTCACACGATAAACTTTCTGAAAAGAAAACACATTCTACAAAGATTATTATACTAATACTTCTTAAAATTAGCAGCTAATAATGTTTCTATTATACATCGATACGAATTGATTTTTACTCTAAATCTGCAGTTAACTAAATGCTAATCTCTGACAAGAATGATTATGCAATTTTGTCTCCTATTTTCTAATGTCTAATCTAGCATGAAAACATAAGAGCATAGAAGAGACACTAGTAAGAAAAGGAAACTAAACTTTGATATTTAATGAAAATCCGTCTTTGCTAATCATCCTATTTGTTTTTAGTAATTTATTGTTGCCAGATTCTTTATTTATCTGTTATGTGCTTATAATCACGATAATAGTTTCTAATCGATTATTGAATTATCAAACGAAGACAAAGCATTTTCATTTGATATCCATTGATCCATCGTCTTGCCAATTCCATTAGAAGACAATCATGCAAACCTCTGATCAATATAATTATCAAGATGAGGGATCATTACATCCATTATGGCTTGGTATATTGATATTAATCTTTGTAATCGCTATTATTGGTATATCATGTTGTCTACGGATACGATTTGCTTCACAATGTCACAAGTTATTTAGTCGAGCGAATTTTAGAAAAAATGAAAACCCCGGTAAAAGACACTTACTTTGATTATAAAAGATTTTACTGATCGTAGAAATATGATATCTTGGTATTCTCTTTTCGGAGTGAATTTCTTCAAAATCGATGAAAGGTTGAACGACCGCGGTTGTGGATATTCTTAGTTCATCTTTACAGCCTAATACCTATCGGGTTCAAAATCGTAGGACTTAGTACGCCCTACCTATCGTAAACAAAGTTGAATAATCTAATCTGAAATAGGTAGGTCCGTCACAGATGAGATGCATGATATTTCTTGATAGTTTGAATTCATTTACGAAAAATGAGCTCGGCATATTTCTCACATGACTACAGTGTTTCGAGTTCAACATTTTTCGACTTCAATGCAGGACTGGTCTTAAGTTGCAACGCTACATTTGAATAATGTTATACAAAGTACGTCATCATGTTGATAATTTGCTAAATTAAACTTTTTCTTTAAGCACTACAGTTGAATGCCAATGGTAAACCATTTGCATAGGGTTTCAATCTTTGTTTATGTTCAGAACACATGAACACGAGTGCTATTTCGCGTCGATGCGTTTGAGTATGTTGAGTAATTATTTTTCGTGAAAAAGAAAAGGAAGACCAATTAGAATTTTCTCTTTTGAAGTAATAGATTTTTTCACTTGATTAAATATTTCATTTTTCTAGAAAGATGTTTTGATCTTTATTTACTTTAGAAGATGTCATAAACAATGATAAAAATCCACCGAACAATTTTTCTTATCATTGGTCATCTATTTATACTCTTTCACAAGATCCATCACCAAAATGTTCTACATTGATTCCAAGTATTTATGTAACTGATTCTCACGATGATCTATGCGTTCAACTAGAAGATATTGATGATGATAAAGTTGAAAATGAATCAAATTCAGGAGATCGAAATCAAGTACGATATGCGAGATTCTATTATCGAAAAATGAACTAATCTAATTTTATTAGATGTCTTTATCATCGTCGATAGAGCAAATTCGAAATTCTGAAATCGCTCGACGATTTTTTGCAAGTATGCGTAGTAGCATTGACCATCCAAATTCCACACTATTTGACAGCTATGCAAGCGAGTCATCTTTAGCAAGTATAAATGGAACAGCCATGGGGGATCAAAACGTTGAAGTCGAGCGAGAACCAAGTGTCAAAATGGGACATACACCATGTTTTTTTCATTCAATACCCTATACAGGTTCAAAACAAAAAACTAGTACTATTTACTAAAGTGTCATTTCTTTTTTCAGATGGACTAACTTTAGGTCTGTAAAAAGAAGCCGATCATTTCTTTTTTTTTGTTTCAAATATTCTTTACTAAATACAACGATATTATTACAAATGGTTATTTCCATTACGATAGCATTATACAACAAATTCAATCGGCAACAATCTATAATAAACTCTTCTGTCATTATTTGTCACACAAATATTTGTTTTCATTTATTTCAATTTTCGAAATAATCAACTCATAATATCATTTCAATGATATATTCTTGATCAATGTGTAGGTAATCTCTTAAAATTGTCTATGTAAAAAAGGAAGAAGAACAGAGCTTGTCCTACTGTCGACTCTACTATCGGAGAATGAGTGCGTTACTATTTTTATGCATTTTGCTTTTCTCATTACTTTTGAACAGTTTACCAGAGAAACGAGGACAACACCTTATTTTGTTCACTAAAATGTGCTCTACAAAGTGCACTGTTCATTTTTCCTGTCTAAAATATTCTCTCACCTGTCTTACGAAAAATACCACAGAACAAAAAATAGTTTAAACATATTAAGTGCATTTTGTATTTTTCGTAAGACAGGCGAAAGAATATTTTAGACCAGAAAAATGCAAAGTACACTTTGCAGAGCACATTTTAGTGAACAAAATAAGATGTTGCCCGCGTTCCTCTGGTAAACTGTTCAAAAGTAAAGAGAAAAGCAAAATTCATAAAAATAGTAGCGCACTCACTGTCCGGTAGCAGAGTTAGCCGGACAAGCTCAACACAAAAGCCACAGTGACATACATGTTCACAGACAATATGAAAATATTAATAATTGCACAGTAAGTGATAAATCAAGACAATTTTTGTCTATAAGAAATATAAGACATTAATAGACAAACAAAAAGCTAACAAGTGTTAATTATGGATGTCCGTTGTTAGATTAGCATCCTTTTGAAGAGATTTTTTATGGTTTAAGATATCATTATTGTCCGATGTTGGTGATGAAGTTTTCGCTGTTTTTGTTTCATTTCGTACTTTTACTGTTATAACTTGAACGCTTTGTTCCATAGTTTTTTCACCTAGTGATGGATGATTCGAAAATTCAGATTTTGTAACAACTTTCAATGTTGTTGTTTCATCATCATTTGCTGATGGATGATCATCATAGGATTCTGTTATATATCGACGTGTTTGTTCACCATCGCGTGTTTCAGAATGAATAATTTCTGTGTAAGTTACATTATGACTTGACGATTTAACTGTTGTATTCGTGTCATTACATAAGGTCACAGCTGGCAATACTGATTCGATGTTTACGACTGGTTCTTTTTCGATTTCATCTGACGATGATGTCGATATTTCAGGTTTCGACGTTGGTAAATGTGCTGATTCATTGCTTTGGTTTTGATATTCACCCGACTTTTCTTCATTCACAATAGAAGATTTCGAATTATTTTCATCGTTTAATTTTGTTTGCTGTTCGAGAACAGATGATGTTAGAGACTCTTCATTTTGTAATGTTTGTGCATGATCTAGTGGGTCAGATGAAGAAGATTGTTGCTCTGGAAGAGCTTCTTTCAATTCATTTGTGTCGTCTCCATATTCTTTAACTTCTTTCACAATACGTTCAACATTGGCTAATTGATCAGTTGTATCAACAGGTGTTGATGATATTGGATTTTCAATGTTGCTTTCAGTTGTTGTTTCAGTAATGTCTAACATTATTTCATTCATATGATCAATAGCAACGACAAGTTTTGGTTGAATGTCAATTTGATTAATAGCTTGTTCTTCATCATTAATACTTTTAGTTATTTTTTCTTCATGATTAATATCAGCTAAATTAGCTGCATTAACTTCTGATGTTGGTCTGGTTAGATTTGATGATGATGCTGCTGCTTTATCAGCAAGAACATTTTGAGTTTTTCCAGATGACTTGGTTGGAGATGTTTGATATATAACTTCAAGTCCTTTTAGAGCAGCATCAATTGAACGACGAAAATCATCACCAATTTCATTTTCATCAAGTAATTTTGCTGATGGTGGAGGTGGTGGTGCGACTGCAGAAAATAGTGTTGAATGTGTTGCTATTGGTTTTGGACGCATTTTAACTTCAGTAACAATAATTGAACGAAGAAGATTTCCATCTTGATTGAGAGCATCATCATTATCATCAATAACTTTTACTAAATAACCACCACTTGGATTAGCAAATATTGCAGCTTGTTTACCCTTGTTGTTGAAAATTTTTAAAAAGAAATTATAAATAACATGTACAGATTTCTATATTTACCTTATAAAATAGGATGCGTGCTTTTTCTAAAGCTTCTTTTAAATTTATACCAGGTTCTCCCGATGGTAGTTGACCAGATTTTTGTTGAAAGGCATTTGCATCCGTTTTTGCCTAGAAATAAAAATAATATTTATTATAACAATTCTTTTTCTTTTATTTTATTTCATACGTCGCCATTGGTTGTTGTACTTTGTTGTTGGCAATTGTCGAGTAGAATTTGCCCATGACGTAATTTTTCTGCTGTTTGCTTTAGAACATCGATCGTATGTGCAACCTTTGTCGCTGATGCTAATGAAACCTCTTTTTGTACAATTTTACCTAATTTATTTGCTGTTTTTATATCGTGACGTTCAGAAAGTAGATCTAATGCTTTAGTAACTATAATCCGATAATCATTAATATCATCGGATTGTTGCACTGTTGAAAAGACATCGTTTAGCACATATTCATCAGCTTTTGGTCGATTAGATTTTAACCATTGACGAAACTGGTCATTAATTAATTGTTGATCACTATCTGATTCTGTTGTTGTAGGCGAATTTGTATTTCCTTTCGAACTTGTGCAGCCCATCCTCGAATCGAGAAACGATCAATAATAATTACTCATCATTTTCGACTACTGTTTTTTCTTCCTCCTCTTTCTCTTTCTTTTTGGCTTGTGTATTTATTTGGATCCACATATGGAGAAGGGAAAAAGTGCTTTTCTCTTACCGCTTTTCTCTCTTCCTTTTTCTATGTTCTGACTTCACTTCTTTGTAGTGTAGTACTGCTATTAATGCTTTGCGGGCATGTTGCATGCGTATGCGTTCAATTATTCACCAAGGAAAAGAAAGAGACAAATCTAGATTCAGTAACAACAGTATTCTTTTTTCTTCTTCTTCTTCTTCTTAGTATATGATAGACGACGAGTTGAACCATTACCATTAGAAGAACGCAAACATACTTGATTTCTTCTCTCTTTCTCTTCTTGCGGTTGTTATTCTATGTTGTTATTGTATTCTTTTCTGTTTCTTTGATTCGGTGTTACACCTTCTACAAAAGCGTGGTCTGTATATAGATGATACATTTCATGATGAATTCCAGTAAATCCTCGACGTTCTTTTCTCTCCTTCCAATGTGTTACGATCGACATCTATGCCGAGAATAATAGCTAAAAACACAAAAAATAGATGATGCTAATAGCACACATATTGGTAATAATGACTCTGATCAACAAGCCCAATAATTATTCAATTTTTTTTGTATATCTGTAATTATTTTTGGCCTTCTGTGGTAGCATCGGTCTAGAATAATTTAGAAAAAAAGAAAATTCGATAATTCTCGGATGTACAATTCTCATGAGTAAACCTGCACAACTAGTAGAACGGGTAGAAATCAATTAATATAGGATGCATCTAAAAAAATAGAAAGACTAGAGTTGCATGCAAAATATATTTTATATAATATTTTCTAAAGAAATCTTAATAATGAATGCAACAGTAAAGAGTAAACAGAAAACAACAATAAAACCAAATCAAGCTTGAATAAATAAAATTTCTGGTGCAGACTAATAATAAAGGGATATCATAAATCCAATTTATTGAATGCACACTAATGAAAATACAACAAAAGTAATTCATTGTTTTCCATTACGCATTGATACGGTCGGATAGATCTTTTGAATTCACCGATTCATTCGAGAATCATCTTAGTTATACGAAGTAACTTCTTCGCTTCTAATAAAAACTGCTATTATCTTCTATACAGCTGCTAACACAGAAAAATTCTGTTGGGATTTGAATAGAAAGCGCCGTTTTTAATAACTCATATGTTAATGTCATATATTCATGTGCATTGGGAATGAAGAAGACAAAAAAGAAAAATTTTGCCTAACTTAATCAATAAGATGAGACACAGAGAAAAAAAGCACATAAAAATTCCACATGAAAATTCAATGATCAAGACGTATAGAAACGACCATGCCTATGAATATTCTATATTAATTGTTTATGCATACATCGGCTGTTGGCTAACATACAAATAAAAGAAATTTCTCGACAGAAAAACTAAATATTTAGTCATATTGTTACGTTGGAGTTGTATCCAGAAAATATATATTTATATTAATAAGACATTTATTTCTTGAAATGGATAAGATCTTATAGAATATTAAGTAGAATGTATGATGATAAATAATTATCCATGGCACATTCTGTATAATTTATGAACCAGAAGCAATGTTTTTTTCTTCTTGTATGGCTGATTACTCAATATGAAGGAAAAACAACATAAGAAAGACTTTTCTTACCAAAAGACAGGTCTGGGTGTGTTGGTTATCGACACGAAATGAAGCAATTCCAACACGAGTGCATGACTTGTTTTCAATTTCTTCTTATATGAAGTTAAGAAATAGAAATTCTATAGATTCTAGTTTGCTTCAGTTATTATATCAGCTTAAATAACATTCAATCTAAATAGACAATGTCTTTTTCGCATGTTCACAAAGACGTCATATTATTCATTTATTTAGATAGCAACAGATGATGTGAGGAATCATTAATATATTTCAGCGTATCATCAATAACTACAATGATATTGTATAGTTATTATGAACATATTAATTATATACTTTTAGAATTGAAATAATTGTTAATATATTCTACTATTACTAATTACAGTATGAGTGAACAGAGATTTTTTTTCTTCCTTCTATTTTACCATGTATTTAACATCACGTTTCAAAATATATAGATTGCATTAAGTGACACCATAAAACTTGTTATTAACTAGTTTGATCGAAATTATATTTGAGAACGATGATGAGATAAAATTGATACTTAGCTGGATAATCTATAAGTACGTGTCTGTTGCTGGGTAAATGATCATTATACGATATTCTCAAAGAACTAAAAATAGCTTAGCTTCAGATTGATATTCATCGTATGTTATTTTCTTATCACATATGGTATCCATGAAGGATATAAGCTTCTTAAGAAATTCACAGAATGATGATATCAACTATGTAACTAAGTAGACTGTATCGTATGTGTGTGTGTGTGTGTATAATAGTTATAAGTAAGAACAAATATACTTTTTCGATTGTTTGATTGGGTTAATGAATGGAGAGCCTTACAGTCGCAAGTGGTTAATCAATAGAGATCTTCATTAAAAATAAAAATGAACTTGTTGACACCGTAAAAGAAAAGAATGTCAATTCTTTTTCGTGCTTATCCATTATTTTTTTTCTTTACTTTGTTTGTTTGTTTTTGTAGTTTCAATATGTTCAAGAGAGAGAAACGAAAAAAAAATAGATACACAATATAGGGAGTAACCTAAAGCGATGCAATGTTCTGTGACAATACAAAGAAGAAAAAGAAAAGAAAGAAAAAGTATCATCAGTAATAATAATAATAATAATAATAGTGTGCCAAATGAGGGCAAGAAATAAAGCAGGTGAAGCAACGAAAAAAAAACAAGACAATGAGAGCAACAATTACAAAATAAGCCATTGTAGTTTTATGTGTGACAATGCACGCCGTACGGAACGTTTGTTGAGAAACGAGAAAGTAGATAAATATCACACACACACACACACACACAAACGTATATATAACAAAAAAAGAAACAATTAGTCTATGTTTTTTAAGAACAGAGATCAAATGCAAAAATAAGAACACAAGACAAAAGGAAAAGAAACGTGTATACTCTGTATTCTTGCCAAATGTCTCACTATGGCAAATAAGAAAACAACAAATAAACAAATTCTTGATTAATCAAAGCGTAGGAGAAGAAAATAAACCGGTCTTATTCTTGCTTGCAAATAAAAAAAACAAAAAACAAAAAACAAAACAGCCAACAACACGAGTATTTCAGGATACATATTATTCGTCTGAACTATCATCATCTGATGTTGAACGAATCATTTCAAGTCGAAGAAGATCTCGGATATCTATACATGGTAGTGCACGACGATTTAATGCTGATATTAATGCTGCTGATGAATTATCCGCCTAAGATAAACAAAAGAATGAAACAAACAAACATTGTGAATCTGTCTTAGGCCAAGAGCATATGTCAAACGTCCAGGGAAATGAAAATATGCATTTTTGCCATATTTTCTAAATCTTAGAAGCACAAAAAAAAGAAAATCGATTAGTTTTCTCAGGTCATGCGTTGCATTTAGGAAGGCAATTTGTTATGGCATGGAAAAAAATTTTGATATTTTGATGAAACTCTTATAAACAGATTACACCTTTGGCTTATTTTTGTTTCACTGTAACCTAAAAAAGGAAAGAAGATTGAATAGGGATTTAGCTGACAACAAGGTGATGCTTTAAAATTCGATTATAAAATTGATCGATGAAGAAAAACTCACAAACGATCAAGTGTCGATGAATCGAGGCTATGTATTTTATTTTATTTTATTTTATTTTTATGAGCTACCAACACCTAGAGTAATATTTCAGATCATTTAGTCTTAGCTATAGAGTAAATTGCATAATAACAATCATCTGTTACAGTTATATGATCTTCGTCAAGAATACGAGTAAAAAACAATATTCTTCGAATATCAAGTTGAAACTTTGTAAATAAACTACAAGAATAGAGTAATATGGAACTTCTAGGCATTTGTTGTTATTTCTACGATATGACACGGGCATGATAATATGTGTTATTCGTAACGCTTATATACATCGTAATAAATTTGGCCTTTTTATCTTAGGATAGTAGCATTTCGATAGCCCTAAAACTGTCATAATAATCCTATTTTGTTATGGTTTGTTTCTATGCAAAATAAAAGAGTGGAAAGTCAACAATTTGTTTTCTTGTTGTCTTTGCAAGCGATCACTCAGTTGAATAAAAAATGAAATACTTTCTCTGCACTATAAACTTGTGATTCAAACTTCTCTCAAGATATTTATATTTCATTAGACTTTATGTAATACGTATAATCTGCATTCTATAGAAATTAATCAGCCGGGAGACCTTCACATGTAAAAAAAACAAAAGTTACTTTTGATAGTAATAAAGTAAAATAAAGTAATTTCTCTTACTATATTTCACTTTTTATAGCACTTTCTGATAATTTTTCCACTTTCTATAATACTTTATCATACTTTTCTTACTTTAGAAAATACTGATCAGTACTTTTTAGTCAAAAACTATGAAAAGTACGTAAAAAGGTTCACTTATAAGTACTTTACCCTGCGTAAAACCTACTATTGAAAGTACTTAATAGCCACTTTTTTTGGGTAAATTTTTTTACATGGGTTGCTCATAAAAACTTTTCTGGTACTTAATTTCGAAGTAAAAATTATAAAACAATACGAAATGATCAGTTGATATCGAGAGAAATTATCAAGTATTACTTATTATATTCAAATGGCCTTAAACTCTACTTAAGAATTATTAGAAAAGACAAATGAAATTTCGTTGAATCGAATAAAAATAGAGACGTCTCATAATAGTTGACCGTTTGGGATCGAGACAAGTACTGTGGTTAAGAGTGCGACAACGATAATGAGATTTTCGAATAAATCTGCATATTTTTAACGTACTCGCTAACAGATGTAGACTATATCATTTCTAACAAATGTCGATTTTCATTAGAAACATGAAAATAAAGATCCATTCATCAGAGCATAACTGTCGATTTAATCTTTCACAGTCGACATGAATATCTGTTTGTTTAGTACATCGAATGTCTTCTTCCCTATTGCATTCTATGTAGTTTTCTGGCAGTACATCGTAGAATTCTCAAAGAAGCCTCATTGTATTCACTTGGCTATTGTACAGTTTCAAAGAATATATAAAACTGTATTACCCTTTTCTTTGAAATAAGCTTCTTACTCATTAACTTACAAAAATAAACCTTCTATAAATAGAAGATTATGCTTCTGAAGGCATACAACATTTTATCATTTTTCTCCAAGTAGAAATTAATAACTTGCAAAGCAAGACATTGTAGTTCGGTAAGCAATTTCAAGTAAAATCTTTGCAATGAGGATTCCGAGAATTTCTGATTATCAAATAATCTATTCTGTTAGATCTCTTCCGAAATACATGATTAATTATTTTATGTCATCTCAATGCATCTGTCTCAAGATCGATTTTTCAATTGGATCTGAATTTTAAATTTAAATCTTACTTTTGGCAAACGTGTAATTCGTTTTTCATATTCTTCTTTATCTTTATCCGTAATTTCGTATGTTATTTCATCATATTCTTTCCAGCCCATCTGCATTAATAATCTAAATGCGTTTAAAATTCTTTTAGAAAATTTCAAATCATCGAAATATACTCAACTCTTTTTCTTCTGGTGTTTCTGGTACGGATAATAAAAGTACAGTTGCTTTTGATGTTTTATAAGTTTTATCTGAATTAGTTATTGTCTTTTTTGATTCACTGTATTGACGTTTATTACCATTTTTATTTCGTTCACTGGTTGAATCATTTTTTAATGAATTAAAAAAATCACTGCGTTTATCTAAATTTTTTGTTTGCGTTATACAATTAGTTTGAAGTTCAAGTGCGACTGAACGATTAGTTGTTCCTGATGGTGGTGTTGTTGTTGTTGTTGTTGTTGTTGTTGTTGTTGTTGATAATGATAAGGATGGGGATGTACCGTTTAAACCATTCGGTGCACTTAATAAACGATCTTTACGTGATAATATACGATTAGAACCAAATAAACGTGAATGATTTGAATTATTTGATAATGAACGATCTAATACTTTAAAGGGTTCATTATGAGAAGTACGAAATTTTGTAGCAGCATTTTTCCATACAGATGTAGATTGATCATTAGATGATGATTTATTTTTTTGTTGACCATTTAATGATGGCTACAGAAAATAAAACGAATTCAAGATAAAAATTAAATTAATAATATTTACAAAATCTTGTTCAAGACGATCAAAACCATTTGAACGATGAATATGTTCATTGTCATGCGTTTTTATTGTCGTGTCTGAATTTTGTTCATTGTTTCCATAGATTTTTTCGCGATCATCAGTAAAATGATTTGATGAACGATCTACTAAACTATTGCCATTTATTGAATTATGATTATTAGTTGATTGTTGGCGATCATTTGAATAGGATGATATGGAATGTAAACGACGTTGAGAATTATTTATCGAACGGTATCCATTGTAGGATTCATTATCATTGAATTCAGAATTCTAATAAAATAAATTACATTACTCATAAGAAAAGTAAGTTCGATAAAAAAAATAAGTGTATGCAAGAATGTTTTCGTTGAACTACTATGCATTTTTGTGTTGAAAAGTTCAAAATAAATACTATCATTGTAGATTTCTAGGAGAACAACTTAAACTGAAAGAGTTAAAATGAATGAAACAAATTGTGATTGATGCTTTTTTTTAAATGATCTATCAAATACTATAATAATCGTTGTCTTACTTTAGCTAATGAATTCGATAAACGTTCTCGACTGTTTGATCTTCGTGTTTGTGTGTGAGCTGAAGAAAATGAAAAGAAACTTTCTGATTGTCCATCGAAGCCGTTCAATGATTGTTGTTCATTAGATTTATTTCGATATTGTCCTAAAATTATTTATTTTTATTTTTGTTATTATTTAAAATACAAAAATAAACGAAATCCGAATAGATATTTAATCACAAGACGACAACGACAATGTTACCGATTATTTTATAATAATAGAATGGTGAATGTCGCGTCGTCGTATGATCAACTATATCCGATGAATGATGCCTTTGCCGACCTGTTACTGTAGGCGGGGATGATGATGTTGAACTTGTTTCACTTCGATTTGATGTTTGTGACTGACGAATATTATTATTATTATTTGTTCGCTCGATAGTTAATTTTTGATTACCATTTGTTTTCTATTTTATTTAGAAAAAAAAGTTAAGTATTTTTATTCATTGAAAAAAATGAAATTTATTACATCTGAATTCTGAATTTTCATCCATGCTGGCACAAAGCCACTTTTGGCCATCACATTGCGCCGAAAAGTGGTTTCACTTAAAACAATAATTAAAAGTGATCTTTTATCTTTTACTTAAAAATAAATAAATACCTTTTCTAATTAGATATTGTTTTATAACAAAACAAAAAAGATCATTAATAGATTATTATCTGTTTTGTTCTTAGAATTTCTATTTATCAATAAATATTAGGATATTATTATTAAAATCATTTAGAGAACTACTATCAATGAGTCATCTAGAAAAAAAAAGAATAACAATTATTTTTTATTTGTAAGAAAAGTTTTTGTATCAACCTCAGTTATTTTTTTTGTTGTACACTATTTATGGATGAAAGAATTCGCAAATAGTACAATTAATGAATTTCAATGTCTAAAAGTTTTGAGAACAAGTAAATTCAAAGCAAATACTACAGAAATAAAATATTTTCACAAAAGTAATATCGATATATTTCGTTGTTTTTATCATGTTTGTAAATATATGACTACTAGCGTCATCGATCAACAGAGAGGCGAACGTTTAGTAATGATTAGTTATAATGGAGATTTGCTATGAAGAAGAAAAAATACAAACCTATATTACTGTTTTACGTTAATTAAATGTCCCATCAATCTGTATATAATTTATTAGTCACTGATTTGAAAATAACACAAAAATATGTACTTAAATTTAATTAATCCGAATTGTTTTGCTGTGTTGATTCCGTAATCAATTAAAGATTAAAAACGTGGTTATCAAGTAAATTCAGTTTAATCTTGAAAGGATTCGTTTTAAATGATGCATGAATACTTGAGATTATACTTTGCGCATATGCCAAACTACTAGCATACAACTTATGTGATTAGAACGAGATAAAACCTAGCCAGTATAATTACCGGTGGTTGTGCAACATACAGCAAAGACCAGCCGATATTGATGCACGTTATTTTAACGTATACGAACCAGTGTTTCCAATGGCAAGTGTAGCAAACACCAACAAAATGCACAGAACATCTGCTACTTTTCATATACACTCTGTTGTACACTTGTCCAGAAAAACAAAGTGTACGACGTACACTTTGCTGAAATAGTTTACACTCTGATTTCTTTGATTTCTGAACTTTAAAAGCCGTATATTGTTTAAAATTGATTAAAAGTTATATTTATTTGTTGTCCAGAGATCAAAATGTTTGTCGCTTGAAAGAAAAAATAACGGGCATTATATTTTGTTTTTTAGATTCTGAAAATTTGACTTTCGTACACTTTGCTGAAAAAACGAAGTGAAATGTACATTTTACTTAGAAAAAACAGAGTGCAGCGTATATTTTTGTTTTACATTTCCATTGGAATCACTGATATAGAGAGAGAATAATGTTATTGAAATAAAGAAAGAAACTAACTATTCTCGGGCCTCCCTAGTCAACTCTACCTAGAAGACTCCCCAAGGAGTCCCCTGACAAATCCCCGAGGACTCACGACAGGGAGTGCCTAGAGATTTCGTTCTTTTACGGGGACTCCCCGGGGAGCTATCTGGCCAAAACCGATGAAATATCTAATTACTAACAAATTCATCTAAATTTTTTAAAAATTAAAAAGCTTTTTTTAATTTTAAAATATTTCATCAATTCTCTCCAGAGAAATCCCCCGGCGAGTCGTCGGGGGAAAGTGGATTAGGGTTGATATACAACAAACTCTTTTTGTTCTATAGAACAACAATTGGCAGATATGATAAACACAAAGAATTCTTTACTATTTCAATAAATAAGAAAGCTATTCAACTAAGAAAACAAACAAACGTTTGTCTAAATCGATCTGAATTATTCCGTACGATTTTTTCGTTTAAAGACCATGTGATATTTGTAGTTAAAGCGTTCTAGTATTAATGCTAGAGCTTTTTCTTTTATTAATATAAATATAAATATAAGCATATATATATATATATATATATATATGTTATAATTGGCATGAGAATTTAGTTGAGATTGGAATAATAGATTTAATTAAAGATGGAGAAAATAGACACAAAAGAGAGCGCAGAAAAGAAAAGCAAAAAAATTTCAAAAATCAAATTGCAAATAACGTTATATGAACGATGTGGAAACTTTTTCTATGAGTTAGATGTAGCAATGTATTTTCTAATTTAGATTTCTTTTCAAATTCGTGACCAAAACAAAACAAAATTTTATCTCTTATTTTTCATTTATCTCAATGCTCTCGCATATCGCTTGTATGAGTCATATAGTAATTAGTGTATCTTGTTGAAGTCATACTTTAACATTAAAACGAAATAAAATACTTCGTTAATTACGATACTTATGTTACATCATCATATAAATATTTATTTATCCTGGTTTTACATTTTAACAATTTAGTAGAATCTACTAATATCTAATTTTTTGCTATCACTTGTTTACTAATTTGAGTTTTAATTATCGATCTTCGTCGCTATGAAACAGACAATGATTAGACATAAATTATAAAGTTTCTATTATATTAACTTATATATTTTTTTTAACGAAGAACCATTGTAGATCATAACACATTAAATGGACAACTCATATAATAGAGAACGAACATTCATTGCATGTCAAAGTACAGCATTCATATCAACATAATGATCCGTGTTGGATTCGTATTTACAAGAAAACTTCAGTTCAGATGTCTCAAGATTTGACAGAGTTTTGAAGATATTAAAGATTGTCAATGGACGTTTTTTTTATTAATCTGCAATATAAGTTAGTTAACACTAAGCAATAATTAATCTTGACTAGACTGTATCTAAAACCAAAGAAAATAGTATGAATTTTTATGAAGTAATGAAATACAAATTCATTCATTTTTTTATAACTTAAACTACGTAAGAGTTTCAAATAATATATATATATACTGATGCCTTAACGATACATTTGAGAACTAGGCCTTGTCGCACAGGCTATTTTAAGGATCGTATGAATTGTTGGAAGATCAGTTTGTTGCGTTGAGCAGAACAGGTACACCTGTAGGCAGATTAATCTCAACGTATGCTACTTTATCTGAATAGAAAACAAGTTCGATAGGTATTTTACTGAAACAATGATCAAATCATTTAATAACAGTAAAGGCAATGTATGAGCTTAGCACAAGTCGATATTTGACGATACAGGAAGTATATTTTCTCACATAAACTAATGCTGTAGCATATTTTTTTTCGAATAAAAGTGCTTGGCTTTATATAAAGTTACTATAAAAATAAGAAACCATCTCTTAGGAATTCAAAATTCACCATGACAAAAAAGTTTCGATCCTTTTAAGATGCAGTATTTGTTCAGGCAAGAACTAGTGGTATCGAAAAATGGAAAACAAAATTGTATTGTTCTTAAGTGATACCTGTTATTTCGCTTAAAATTAATGTACGATCGTTCAATATAAGGTATAATTCAGTGTTTTATCCAGATTTTTCACTCCGGAAGGGCGAATTCAGCTGTCGGAATGGCAGACAAAAGTTTTTTAAGGGGCGAACTACCATGAGTAATATCGATTCTATCATACTGATGTGTTCAAAAGATCTGTGTGTTGTAAGTTATATAAAAGTTGATTATTTATTTCATTTTTCTCGGGAGGGCAAAATGTCTCTTGCCTTCCCGCTGGATAAAACACTGGTAGAATTTCCAAGTATGATGAGAAATACCGCCTAAATATCGCAGTTAGCTCTTCCACAATCATTTTGTTCAGCTCTTGTGATATAAAGCACTGTAAATAACATTCAAAATGGCTTTAACAGAAATAAACTCGCTCAGATGAATTTGCCATACTCTCCAGAGTATTATTACACGAAGAGTCGATTGCATCAGACTTAATACATATTTGAAGGTGCGTTAGAGTAGGCGCTAATCATAGAAGTGACTCTACGTTTTTCATATGATTTAGAAATGTTGAACTCATTCACACTCTTGGTCGTGAAGTCTTGGAAGGATCACAAGAATTGACCGGCATTAAGCTTGCGTGAGCGAACGTGAGCGGCTGAATTGGTCAATATTAATTGTAGAAAGAAAAATTTGTTGCTTCGATGAGATAATCCCATCATTCTGACGATGGAAGTGAAATGAATTTTTTCGAGTCTACAGTTTTTCTACATGATACTAAAATCAGATATTGATAAAAAACGGATACCCATAGCACACGAACTAAACACTTTCTAGACGAATTCGGTTGAACTTTTATTTTGTTAAACTGATAAAGAAAAAGATTAATATGGCGAATGATAAAAATATGTAAGTGGTCATTTTTTTTTAAAATTTTAATATAAAAGAAGTCTAGCTGTCTTGTTTCAACTACAAAAGGATTCGAACAAGTTCAAGATAAACAGTCGAAGTCTGCATTTAAACATTAAGTGGTTGAACGACACGACTTCGCCAAAAATTGTTACTTTGACGGGCACAGGAGCGGTCAAATATATTGGAAGCCAGTATGTACACCTTCATCCAACATAATATGATATATGGCACCGACTGTCCAATTACTGTTTGTCAAAAATACCAGTTCGTTATTGTAGTAGAGAACTTGCGATGAACTTGAGCAGTCAATACTATGTTCGATCATTCCATGTGATGCTCGAAAAGTGAACCAGAAAGCATTTTTGATTCGAATTTAACCAGCTGATCAAGGAGGATATTAATAAGATTATGCCTAATCTACAACACTGTTAATGCCATCTAAGTGGAGTAAAACCGTAAAGTATAATATATCCGGCGTTATTGATAATGAGAAAATCAATTTATAAAAAATATTTCAAATACATTTACTCGCGATCTTTTACTTAATATTTAGGAACTTCAGTATGAAACTTGAGTTATGCAGTTGGCTTGTCAACATTTACTGATACAAAAAGCAAATATTTGCCCCATATATTATTTCATGGAAAAATAGCCTGTCTAGTTCAACTTATTAAATCATTAATATGTAAAAGAAGTGATCTTCTTATCCTTCAGTAGCAATAATAGAATAGGAACGGCATGTCTAAATCAATGTGATATTTTTAGATTAATTTCCAAAT